ATCGCACCTTTTTCTTGAGTTCTCTCCACTTTAAGAGTAAAGTGATTTATAAAGCTGATAGTATTTCTGTGGGCTGACCTTGGTTTCTCATACTCTACTATAAATTTTATACCTCTCTCGGGAGACAGTGAGCACTTTCTGCCAAATCCCAAGAGCCCTCAATCCTGGCTACTTGAGGCCTGGTGTGGTGAAGTGTGGGATGTAGATGGGTAGAGGGCAGCATGGAAAAAACGGTCTGTGGTAAGACAACAGAGCAGCACATATCATAGAATCATAGAATCCTAGGCTGGAAGAGACCTCAAGGATCATCTGGTCCAACCTTTCTAGGCAACAGCACAGTCTAGACAAGATGGCCCAGCACCCTGCCCAGCTGAGCCTTGAAAGTGTCCAAGGTGGCAGAGTCAACCCCCTCCCCTGGTGAGATTATTCCAATAAGTGACTGTTCTCGTGGGGAAAAATTTCCCTCTCATGTCCCGCTGGAATCTCCCCAAGAGCAACATGTGTCCATTCCCCCTTGTCCTCTCCATGGGACTCCTTGTGAAAAGGGAGTCTCATCTTCCTTGTAGCCACCCCTTTGATACTGGTAGATGGTGATGAGATGCCCTCGAAGCTTCCTTTTCTCAAGGCTGAACAAACCCAGCTCTCTCAGCCCATCTTCATATGGCTAAGAGAGGCTTCCCAGCCCTTGGATCACCTTGGTGGCCCTGCTCTGGACCCCCTCCAGCCTGTCCACATCTTTTTTGTACAGCAGGTACCAGAACTGTAAACAGGATTCCAGGTGGGGCCTGACAAGTGCTGAGAAGAGTGGGATGATGACTTCTTTATCTCTGATGGTGATGCCCTTGTTGATGCAACCCAGCATCCTGTTGGCCTTCTTGGCCGCAGCAGTGCGCTGCTTGCTCACATTGAGCTTTCTGTACACCAGGACCCCCACAGAGCTGCTTTCCAGCCAGGTGGATCCCAGGCTTTGCTGCATTCCTGGAATATTTTTTGCAGGTGCAAGACCTTACACTCATCCATATTGAACTTCATAAGCTTCTTGTTAGCCCACTCTTCCAGCCTCTCCAGATCTTCCTGCAGGGCTGCCCTCCCTTCTGGAGTGTCTACTTCCCCATTCAATTTGGTGTCATCTGCAAACTTCATCAGGCTACACTTGATCCCACCATCCAGACCACTTATGAAGACATTAAATAATATTGGGCCCAATATTAATCCCTGAGGGACCCCACTTGTGATGGGACAGAGTAAGGGACAGCGGGCACTGGAGAGAGTCTGATAGAGACATGCATTTCCCACGTTACACTTCAAACGCGGCTAGGAATAAAACTTCACACATTCATGCACACATTGCAATGGAGAATCAATATTTCTCCTTCTTCCACTCAGCAACTCCCAGCAAAATGGGATTAAAAGAAGAATCTCATTCCTCTTTGCTGAGATCTACTTTAACAATCCCTAATCGCTAGCTATTTTTCACTTTTATTGGAGGTAAAGCTGGGATTGAGGAGGTACCCCTGGAGAGAAAATTAAGGTTGCTGGGACAATGGGGAATGATGGTAGATGACAGTCATGCAGGGGGTGCTGGGGGGAGAACCCCTTGCTGACACCAGGGTCCCCAGAGATGGGCCAACACACAGGATGTACAGAACAAGGGCAGACTCAGCTTTAGTCCCTTATCTGCTCATTTCTAAGCCCTGAAACACATAGAGGCTTTGAAAGAAAAGGGTTTTGCCCAGGTAACAGGCAATGGGACAAGGGGAAATGGCCTCAAGTTGTGCCAGGGCAGGTTTAGGTTGGACATGGGGAAAAATTCCTTCCCCGCAAGGGCTGTCAGGCCCTGGAAGGGGCTGCCCAGGGAAGGGGTCAAGTCCCCATCCCTGGGGGGATTTAAAAGCTGGGCAGAGGAGGTGCTTAGGGCCAGGGTTTAGTGGTGGGGTGGCAGGGTTAGGGGAACGGCTGGGCTTGGTGATCTTGAAGGGCTTTTCCAACCCAAACGGTTTTATGATTCTATGATTATTCTATTGCAAAGGGCTCTACTTTCAAGGACGCAGAGAGCGTGCACCACGCAGTGCCCAGCACTTACCTGTATCATAGTGAACCATCAGGGATCTGCAATGATCTCCAGTCTTCAGCGGGTGAAACTCCACTGTTACTTGCATGGTGTCACCAATCCCAAGAGTCCCAATGGAGGGATCGACAGAGAAAGGGCTGCAACACAGAGACATCAGGACAATTGTGGGAGATCTGGGGACTATATTCCTTTGGAAGCCTCGTTCACTTCAGCTCACTTGTGCAAGCAAGGAGCCACCAAACCACAGTTGGTAGAAGGAAACCACAACAATGCAGCATCAGAAACAGAGCTACGGACTCTCACTTCTGAAGAGATCCAGTCCTCAGAAGATCCGAGGGTATAAAATGAATTCATCTCCCCCATATGCTGCATCCAGTTCTCTGCAGTGAGGCTGATGAGCCCGACTGCAAGAAATACAACCAGAGGATGGTTTTTGAGGAGCACGGAGATGGTAAGAGCTATTTTGCACGCACAACTTGACACTGACTTCCTCAGGAATCTGCCTTTACCCACAAAACCTCACCTCCACCTTGTCTACCCGCAAAACCTCACCTCAAGAGATGCAAGTACCAAGGCAATATCTGTTACAATGAGATTACAGCCTAAAAATCGGACAGGAAGAATAAAAGTCTTTCTTGAAGACCAGAGAATTATTTAGGGTTTAATTTGAAGAATTCATTTTTTACCTTGAAAACATCCTGGTTTAGACTAAGAAAGGGCACATTTTATCAGCACCTCAATGAAAGCTGCTCTAAGAAGAAAAGGAACAACCAGAAAAATCTGAATGAGTGCAAATGCAGATTAAGAGTGCTACCACAGTATGGAAACGAGATGCAAAAGGCATATCCCATCTACAGTCTGAACGATTACAACCCTAGCTGAACGAAGTGCCATTAACGGTAACGTATCAAGGCAACTTTAACAGGAGGTTTTCTCTGCGTTCACAAGCAACACAATCTGGAACTCGGGGTTGTAATCCAAGCTTGGTAACTGTTTGCTTGGCCCACCAGACCAAGTATGTGCAACCTGTTGGAAATAATTAAGAAAATGTGTTGGTGTACTTTAGATTTAATACCAGCAATTTAACAATGTCTCACCAGGTGAACAGCTATTGGCTGACAGACACAAAACTCAGTGCTTTAGTGCCTAGAGAACAGGCGGATGAAACGTGCTTCTGCGCAATGGCAGCTGGGCTTTGTGGCTCTCGTACAGCCCCACTTAGAAAACAAAAGTTATGAGTTTTAGTGCTTTGCTGGTGGTCAATTTGTCACCTTAAAAACATGTTCTGGAGAGTTTTACCCTGATTAGAGAACACAATGCATACACAAAAAATAACGAGAACAGCCAGAGCCACGCGCAATCTGAACTTTGTTCATCTAAGTAGCGTCAGCTGATGAAATTGCTGGAGTTTCTGCTCATTAAGGAGATACTGCTGCAATTAGGGGCCTGACCTGTTCCCATTATAACTGGTGAAAACATTGCTGCTGACTCAAATGGAGAAGCATTGGGCCTGCAGCGTTTACGTGCTGGACTTGAGGCTTTTGAGAGAGGAGGAAAGGCAAGGCACCACAGCCTCAGAGCTGGATTGCTCTGCGTGGTCTTGCATCTGCTTGGATGGTCATGACAGGACTGCTGCAGGTCTCTGCTGGTGCTTGGGTGGGATCACGGCCTGCTGTGGGAAAGGCACAGATATACTTTTTTTCCCCCCCTATTTTTTTTCTGCCAGAAACGTTGCCAGAACAGAGAAACTGCTAGTTAGGGAAGGGGCTTCACTTCAACACTACCTCCCATCCCACCACCTTTCTACTCCTTCCTCATGTCTACGTACTCCTGCCCTCAGATGGATGGGAGGAGAAAAACACTCCCGGGAGTGACTTCAGGGGATGGGCTGGGAAAGAAGCTATCTTCAAGGGCAAGTGTCGGGTGCTGCCCCTGGGGAGGTTGAACCCCATGCACCAGCACAAGCTGGGGGCTGACCTGCTGGAAAGCAGCTCTGCCAAGAGGGACCTGGGAGTCCTGGTGGATGACAAGCTGCCCGTGAGCCAGCAGGGTGCCCTTGTTGCCAAGAAGGCCAATGGCATCCTGGGGCGCGTTCAGAGGAGTGTGGCCAGCAGGGTGAGGGAGGTTCTCCCCCCTGCTCTGCTCTTCCCACTGAGACCCCATCTGGAGCACCAAGTCCAGTTCTGGGCTCCCCAGCTCAAGAAGGGTAAGGAACTACTGGAGAGAGTCCCGAGGAGGGCTACAGAGATGATGAGGGGACTGGAACATCTCCCCTACAAGGAAAGGCTGAGGGAGCTGGGCTTGTTCAGCCTGGAGAAGAGAAGGCTGAGAGGGGATCTCATCAACACGTACAAATATCTGAAGGGTGGGTGTCACGAGGACGGAGCCAGACTCTTCTCAGTGGTGCCCAGCACCAGGACAAAGGGCAATGGGCACAAACTGAAGCAGAAGAGGTTCCAGTTGAACGGGAGGAAGAACTTCTTGACTTTGAGGGTGACCGAGCACTGGCCCAGGCTGCCCAGGGGGGCTGTGGAGTCTCCTTCTCTGGAGATATTCAAAGCCCTCCTGGACGATGTCCTGTGCACCCTGCTCTGGGTGAGCCTGCTTGAGCAGGCGGGTTGGGCAGGGGGATCTCTGGAGGGCCCTGCCAACCCCTGCCATTCTTATGGCATAGTATGGATTCATATTCAATTCATCTTATGGATTCATATTCAAATTATCAGAAGAAGAGGATCCAACCGAGTTCAGGACTCTGTTCTTAGAACTGAGAAACCAAGCACAAATCAGACACTGCATCACCTACATTCCAACCCATGCAAGACAACTCTTGTTACTGCTACAGCAGGAGCTCATTATCCCTCACATAGATCTGGTCCTCCAAGACCCAAAGATGCAAGCTCCACAGTTTAACTTAACTCCTCTGAATTTCAGCCAGCATCACTAAGCTCTTCCCTGCAGCCCACAGATAAGAAGAGATGCTAAGGAGACATCCCTGACACACTGCAATAGCCAAGTGAAAAGCAGTCCAGGAAATGAAGCTGGCACTGAAGGTGAAAGCAGACAGGTTATGCTTGATGCCACAGAGAAGGGAACCCAGAGAAAGGAGGCAAAAAGAAGTGTTACAAGCAGCGCATTGGATTAGAAAATGGCGGCATCTGCAGCTGAGTTGCAAATGGGCAAGAGCCTGAATTTGCTCAGGCCAGAAAACAAGAGTTGCAGCAGCCAAGACAGACGTTTCAATCATGCTGGCAGAGAATAAAGGGCGTAGAGGACAGCTGATGGGTCTATAACCTTAGATCTCATTCCCTTCTACTCCACTAATCCTCCTCCCTTCTCTCACACGCATGCGTGTGCTTGTACATAACACACGTGTGATATTAAGACTGGTTTCAACATGACATCGCATCCTTACTCAGCAAAAGTTAAGCACACGTTCAACTTCAGCTGCTTAAATAATAAACTGAAACAGTCCCGAATTTCGGTCTGTAAGGCTGGCACTCCTTTCCCCTAACACTCATGCCATAACTCTCGATTACTGCATCTCATATAGAATCATAGAATCATAGAATGTTTAGGGTTGGAAGGGACCACTAGTGGTCATCTAGTCCAACCCCCCTGCAGTGAGCAGGGACACTGCTAACTAGATCAGATTGCTCAGAGCCCCATCCAACCTGGCCTTGAATGTTTCCAGGGATGGGGCCTCCACTACCTCTCTGGGCAACCTGTTCCAGTGTTTTACCACTCTCATTGTAAAAAATTTCTTCCTTACCTCTAGCCTGAACCTACCCTGTTCTAGTTTAAAACCATTTCCCCTTGTCCTGACACAGCTGGCCCTATGAAAAAGACGTTCCCCATCTTTCCTATAGGCCCCCTTTAGGTACTGGAAGGCCGCAATCAGGTCTCCCCGTAGCCTCCTTTTCTCCAGACTGAACAAGCCCAACTCTCTCAGCCTGTCCTCATAGGAGAGGTGCTCCAGCCCTCGGATCATTTTTGTAGCCCTCCTCTGGACCCGTTCCAACAGTTCCATGTCCTTCTTGTGCTGAGGGCTCCAGAGCTGGACGCAGTACTCCAGGTGAGGTCTCACCAGAGCTGAGTAGAGGGGCAGAATCACCTCCCTCGACCTGCTGGCCAGCAGAAGTCCAGATAGATGACATCCATTGGTTTCTACATTTTAAGCTCTCCAGAACTGGAAACATAACTCACTCATTTCCAAAGCACAGTTTTAAGTGTTCGTTGATAATAATTAATCAACAAGATATTCTGAAAGTTATTCAAGAGAATTAGTGGCATTAAACTAAATCTTCACTACCTCTGCCTTAATAACGATGCAGCCTTTGCTAGAGCCTCTATGGCAGGGAAATCAATCCCCTCACATCAGTAGGAAAATGGCCTCTCCTGTGAAAGCCTCTGTAAATATATCTATTCCAAGACAATCACCAGCTAATGACCTACCAAGCCCATGGAGCAGTCCGATTCTCCAGCCAACTTGCCACACCAGCTGGGAGGCCAATTCTTTTCTGCTAGAACCACAGGGCTCACCTGGGAGCTCAGTGGTAGGCGTACCAACAACTTCTCATAGCACAATGAGCAAGGAACCAACCACTGATTGCCGCTATCTAGAGACTCAGCCATTAATGTGAAAGTTGGCAGATACAATAGCAGTTCCAGAGGCGCTTAGACAGCAAGAAAAGAGTTGGTGCAATGCAGAGACAATGTGTCACACAGCATGGGCCCCAGCACCGGCTGGAATAACCGCTCCTCGCACATCGTGGCCTTATCACATAGGGAGGAACATGGTCTTTCAGGTCTTGGGATGCAAGTGGACATCCTGACCTGGTCAACAGGAGGGAACGCTCAAAATTTGGTGGATGATACCAAACTGGAGTAGCCATCATGCTGGAGGGCTGGGCTGCTATTCAGAGGGACCACAAGAGGCTGGAGAAATTGGCTGATGTGAACTTCATGCAGTTTGGGGATGGAAAATGCAAAATCCTGTATTTGGGGTGGAATAACCCCTGGCAGGACAGGCTGGGCATTGATGGGATAGAAAGTATTTCTACAGAAGAGGATCTTAGGGGCTGGAGCACAAGACACAAAGGGAGATAAATGGGTTTGTACAGCCTGGAGAAGGAACCATGAAGAGTGTTCTTAGTGCTGTCTACATAAAGGAAAGCTGTAGAGAAGATGGGGCTAGGCTCTTCTTCGAAATGTGCAGTGATAGGATAAGGGAAAATGAACACAAGTTGCAGTAATGGAAAATCTGAGTAGATACTAGGAAAAAAAGTCACCATGAGGGTGGTTGAACTCTAGAACAGGGACCCAGAGAAGCAAGAGAACCTTGAAAACATTCAAAGCTCAACACAGAAAGGCCTGGAGTAGCAAGCTGTGTTACCTGCAAACCTGATCAAACTTTGACGCTAGTCTCGATTTAAGACTTTTGCTCAGATGATCTCCAGAGGTCCCTTCCAAAGTTATTCTATGATTTTGTCTTCTAAATCAGCCCAACTCCATTTCACATATCCCCCAAATTTCTCCTGTTTCCTATATATCTGTGCACATACATAAGGCAGATGGCATAGAGACAGGCATTAGAGGAACTCAACCTTTAAGAAAGTTCCCAGTGAAGAATTAATTATGACATTTTGAAGAACGCTTAAAGCAAAAAAAAAAAAAAAAAAAAAAAGAAAAGAGAGCAGAAACACAGGAACTTCAGAGTATTTAAAAAGAAATCTGAATGAAAGCGGGGGTGACTTAATTAGAATAAAATGCTGCTTATATTCAAAGATTTAAATCATCTGTTTGAAATTTCAAACTGGCTTTCAAAAGTTCATAATGAAATGGAAGAGATGACTGATGCCCTCAGCTGACAAGGGAAATCGTATCAGCTTTTGATCTCTGCACACATGCAATCCAGTTATTCAGAATCCTACTTTTTTTGGTGCAGTTTGAAATAAAGCTTTTGTGGTGCTTTCCATTTCTTTATTGCAAATCAGGACTGAAATATTTAATTGCTGAAGCTCAGAAACTCTTAAAATCCCTATCGAGCAGGATTCAACACACACTGCAGCACTCAACTGAATAGCTGGTAAGTACATTGCAGCAAGATGCTAGACTTTACTGGGTATTTATTTTGGTGGTGACAACTAGATCTGGAAATCCCAGAGGGAAACTGTACAGTGATTTACAAGTTCCTGCCTACATACGTTCCACAGTGAAAAGCAGCAGCCTGCTTAAATAGTTTTGCCAGGCTTCAGTGGAAGCTCCTCTTGGACCCTCACATTTCACAGGAGAAAAGTAAAAAGTCTTTGCTTGACCCCTGTTTTCCCGGGTAAGAAAATGAGGCAACTCCGGGGCACCAAGTCAGACAGCGGCTCTTTGCTGCATTCCTGACCTCAGCTCCCACACCAAGACCGCAGGGACCAAGCAACTCTCAACTAATTACCAGCCAACCAAACTGGTTTCCTGGCAGATGTGGTGTCAAAAAGGCATTACCCCCTCCAATTAAGCTAACTGGAAAACCAGTAACTGTCTTCCGTGACCAAAAGGAGCAGTACAGGCTGTCTGCAACGCAATGCATTTGACTAGGCTTTTGACTAGGGTGCCGTAAGAATACCATGCCCTCCTGGCCCCCCAGAGAATGAGTGTATTTGGCTGATAGTGGTACGTAACCCTTTCAGAAAGTTCTTACTACCAGGAGGTTGCGAGCTAGCTACTAACATTCTAGCACCCTCCAGGAAATCTGGGAGAGAGAGCTCTAGAAGAAAATGCCCCCAACCCATGCACCAGATATTTGCTGCATCATTTGCCTGGGCCCTCGTTAGCATTCTGGTTTGGGGCTGTAGTGAAGTTTTGAAGCCAGTGTCTGCTCATCTCCGCTTAAGAATATGTGGTCCCTGGCACCAAGTACCAGACCAAACCTACTGCAAAACAAAATTCCTGGATCATGCAGTGTTATTGTCAGGGCCTCGATACCAATTTGCTTGGATCTACAATCTCCAATCGCACTTGCTAATAGAGACACAAGTGCTGATAAATTCTTCAATATCCCTTTCACCAGCTCATAGCCAGCTATTCCCTAAGACTGCATTTGGTTTACCTGAACTGAGCTCCTAGAGCTGTCATCTGCCACGCAGTGTCCTATACAGCCCGAGGGCAGTCAAGTTGCCTTCCTATATTCGCTCTTTCAAACCAACAGAATTGAATTATAGAATTGTTTGGTTGGAAAAGACCTTTAAGATCATCAAGCCCAACCGTACCTGTCCACCACCAAACCATGTTCCTAAGCACCTCGTTTGTCTGGCTTTTAAATCCTTCCAGGGATGGGGACTCGACCCCTTCCCTGGGCAGCCCATTCCACTGCCTGATAACCCCTTCAGTGAAGAAATTTTTTCCTAATATCCAATCTAAACCTCCCCTGGTGCAACTTGAGACCATTTCATCTTCAATTGGTATTGCAAGATGCTGTGTTGGAGACACCATTGCGGCATAAAACCTCGCTGCAGCTTGCAGAATTTTATCAAAGGTTGCATCGTGCCTAAAACACTGTTAAGCAACTGCAAAGCCCACCTGTCCTGCCCATTTCCAGCTATGGCTGCATTACAGCAGCTCAGATGCTCTTGTTTTGTTACTGATTACCAACTGTGTTATCACACAACAGCGTTTTGCGCAAAAAAGATGAGCTCCTTTACCTCTGAGTGCTGATGCAGTAGCGGGCCTCCCGATTACCGACGTTGCGAACCAGCAGAGTCTTCTGGGTGCTGTACTTGACCGGACAGATGGAGAAGTTCAGCTGGTCAGGGAAGTCCAGGATCGCTCGGGCACCTATAGCTCGGATCGGCACAATAAATTTTTCCCTTTCTGTGATGCAGGTGACCTGGTGAAAGTAATCCTGAGGGGAAAGAAATGATCTCAACACAGTGCATTTGGTACCGTCCCCATGGCAGAACACACCCTGCTGTTTTCTACAACTCGAACCATAGTGTTCAATAACAGAATAGTACTTTTTACTTTAATGACCTTTCATTCTGGTAGCACAACTTAGGGCTGTTAACTTGCAAAGGAGGAACAACCTCATTGATTCACCTGCTTACATGGCAAGCTGGCAGAACCTGACAAAATTATGTGATACTTTGATTCTGCGGCACCAAAAGAGAGTAATTTTGTGGAAGGGATTACAGCAGTAAGAACCACCTGCTTCGATCACCACTGCAAACTATTAAAGGCACCACTGAGAACCTGGCTGTGCCACAGCACTAACTCTGATCCCAGCAATGCAGCGACCTCGTGGAAGCTTGGCAGGGGATGCTCAGGTACATTTTCAAAAGGACTTCGCCATGTGCACAAGCAACAGTCAAGTCTTTGGGAAAATACTTAAGCTGGACACGATAATTGTTTCAATGTCAGGTGAGCATAGGGTACACGCGTATTTCTCACCCATTCCCCATAGCATTATAGGGACACCCTTAAAAAGCTATCAGATCCATCTCAGCACCCCGGAACTGGCTCAGCTCTATACCCAAACTCATCTTGAGAGATGTTTGACAAGTACTTAAAAGCACTAACAACTCCCCCCCTGCCCTCAGCAGCCGATCCCAGCTCTACCCTAGACTTAAAGAGAGTTCTTCCCGTGTTTAATCTCAATTTTCCCTTTACAGCTCATCCTAGCCTCAGGGGATGCAGGCGCTGGCTTTGCTTTCTCCCTGATGCATATTCTGGCATGGTTGATGCTTTAATCACATCTCTCTTGTAAGGTCTCTAGCATAAGCGACTCGGTGCCTTGGTAGCATGCCTACCTGAGCCGGGCAGTATCAGGACCTGCAAATGGGAGATGCTCAGACATCCCTAACTCAACTGAGCTATTCCCTGTCATTGGCTTGCTCAGAAAAGAGAGCCAGACAGTCCCCCCAAGCTGTCTGGCATTTAGCAGTAGGAAGGCAAATCAAGCCACCAAAATCATTTTACTGTAGAGTTGAGCAGATCGATCTCCAGACGTACGGCATGGCATCACTGTGCTGGAAGGATTGCCTTGCCCCAACTAAAATCAGCGGTAAAAGTGTTGCAGGAGGGCCGGGAGCCATTACCTCCAGCAGCTCTTATTGACAAGTTGATAAAAGCTCTGCCTCTTATCACTCACTTGCTGTCCCAATCTTTTTTTCCTTGGTGCTTTTAACTCATTTGATATTTTTTTATAATTGTTGAAGCAGCAAGCAGACAATTTGATTTAGGAATTGCATGCAGCGGCAAACTCCCTTAACCAGAACAGATTCAGATGCCTCTGCATTTGGGATTTCCTGCTCCCATACTCATCCTCTCCAAGCCTGGAAGGGAGCCAAGGCAGCCAGACGAGGCACAGGGACCCCGCTATTGCAGTAACACAACAACTAACACCCAGTGCCTACCAACCGCCTGCTCAGCTAGGGTTGAAGGTTGCAGTTAACAGATGCCATCACATCCAAGATGCAAAAAGAATAAAGAAGGATCTTTTTTTTTTCTAGTCATCTCAAATATTCACACTGGAAATTGCAGAAGGGCTTTTGCTTCTCCTATTTGGAAGGTAAAATACCAAGAAGGGAACCGCAGCGAACGACCTACCGAATTGAATATCACATTTCAGGAGAGAGTTTCATCTTCAGCAAGTCTTTCTGAATTAGCAATTTTGTACTCAATCTTGCAGCCTAAACCCTCTAAAATAAAAGCTATGGACAGCCCATGTGAATTTAAAGCGCCTATTATCTGGGCACTTCACATCCTGGAGTGTTTAGATCCTCAGAAACTGCATTAGCAAATGAAGAATGCTATTTACTTTTTTTTTGTTGGTTATTTTGGCCACACTACTGTAACAGAGGCATTGTAAACCCAGTTGAAAGCTGCGCGCCTTATTAAGTCTCGGCGTGCCGTATTTACTTATCTCTCCCTTCCAGGTGCCAGGTAGACAGAAGAGGATGCAAGGAGTTCAGATCAGCAGGGGGATAACGAAAAAAGAAGCTTCAACAATTGGAGGTATTTGAGGGAAGTAAAAGGAAATAATTTTCAAGTCATTGTCATTGCTGAGGAACGAATGGATCAACAGCAATCTAAGAGCCCAAGGAATAAATCCCCCCCCAAAAGCAGGCACAGGCAGCATTCCCAGCGCCGCTGCCGGTGAGGGGCACTGGGACCGCCTGCACAGCAACGCATGGGGAAAGGGGCTCCTCCAGATACATGAAGGCAAGGCTAAAGCCACAAGGATTTGGCCTCACAGGGACAACCAGCACCTTTGTTGGAGAAAGCTGCCTCTTGCCATTCACACACGTGTGCTGAGCCCCTTCTCCAGGGACGCCCTGGGACGCTGCATCCTGTACAGGGCTTGACAGCCTGTGCTGACCCCTTCAACCACGCTCCAGGACCCCGAAGTGGGACCTTGCATCAAAGCAGAATGCTGAGTCAGGCCAAACAGGGGGGAAACCCAAGGAAAAGAGGGGTGCTAGGCAGAAGCTGGCTGCTCACGCTGCCGTGAACCCAGGGTCCCTTAAACTTTTGAAAGCCAAATCACCTCCCCCTGGGGGAAGATAAAGGCTGCAATTCTCTACCGCAGCACCGCCTGGTGTTGCCAACTCTGCTATGCATTTACTCGCAATCTAGGGGTACAGTTGAAACCAGTTTAAAATCTTGTTTTACTTTGCCACTGCAAACCTGTAGTGGGCTGCTTAAAGCCAGGTTTCTGAATAAACACGCCCGGGAGAGAGGGGTTGCATCGCTTCTACACTTTAAAGATTGTTGTGTTTAAATGCAGCTTCAGGCTACACATTTTCATGAAAATACAACTTCATCCTTCATACAATTTCATCGAAAATACAGTTCATTGTAGGACGGTTCCTCTTCTCTTATCCCCCTTTGATAAGCAATAAGTTACAAGCTCCGGCCTGCAAAGCATCACCACTGGCATTCGAATCGGCACCTGCTGAAATGAAAGCAACTGCTAGTATCAAAAGGCGTCATTTCAGGCTCTTTCCAGACTCAGGATAACATTAACTGCTGTCAGCCTTAGTGATATCAACCTTAAGTGCCTGGTACACCCGCAAACTTGGATGTCAGCTTTACTGTATAACCGATCCTAAATACTTCAGTGAATGTCTTGCAGCAGGCAACGGCAAAGAAGAGATCCCTGTAGCATGAGGTTAACGTCAGTAGTAAGTCAAACAGGGAAAGCTCCCTGCTGAAACCATGATACCAGAAAGGCTGGAAAATAAAGGCTGTTGAAAGAGAGGAGGGAGGCTGGAGGCAGCTTCACGTGAGCAGGGGCACCCCCTCCTCTGCCGCCCTCAGCTGCTAATCCACAGGATGCTTTCGGATCAGTCCCTTTGCTCTGAGTTAATTTTGCCATGGGCCATTTGCCTTGATCTTCTGTCCCCTTCCTCCTCCTCCCAGGAGTCGTCTTAAAAGTATACTTGGAATAGCTTCCATGTGCTACAAAACATTGGAGTTAATTTCAGTAATGCAATAACTCATCGTCCTGTCATATTCCATATTAATCAATGAGCATTAATTCAGTCTCCACTGCGCATCAGTAATGAATTTTGCAAACCTTACAGACTGAGCTTGTATTGCCTGAAAATATTGTATTGCTGTAGTGAAAAGAGCAAGAGGACAAACCAGAATCAGCCGTGCTGTGTTTTTATAGGCTTCTTGCTTCCTTCTTCCTTGAAGATAATCTGTTAATAAGTCTGGAGGACACATAAACATCAGCATTTCTGCCTGTTGTTTATTTGCCAGTCAGTTCCACGATGGTTTCCAATTAGGCAGAGACTGTCAGACGATAATGCAAGGACAGCCGGGAACACAGGATGGCACGAGAACACCCACACCGTACAACCAGCACCGTAAAACAAATGTGTAAATCAGAAGCAGCAAGAGTAACTAATTGGAAATGCTGCCCAGCAGAAAAATTAGCATTTCACATTTATAATGCAAGTGCCAATAAACAAAGAGACATGTCAGCTATTTCTTTGCTTTCTGACAGTCCAATCATGTGGCACATTCCCAAATGACCACGGGACAGTAGGAAATGGCTCATTTTTCCAGAAAGGGCTCGATGGCAACACAGCATTTCAGCCACGAACGACTCGCAGGATCCTTTTATTTAGGGCTTAGCCACAATTTTACTCTCTGGAATCAGGAGGGACTTCGCTGAAGTCAGACTTACCCCAGGGAAAGAACGGATTCAAAGCAAGATAATTAATAAACCAACTCCACATCAGGAGACCTTTCCAACCCGTACCTGCATCCCAGTTCATTGGGTTATCCTCAAACCCTGTGGATCGTGGAGCAGCAGAGGTTGTTCAAATGGAGCGCTTGTAAGCCTTCCACACCCAAAAGGCAGGTTATCCTGCGTGCACGGCACTGCAAGACCAACGCAGGGGGCTTTACAGAACCATTTCCCAAAGCCTGCCTCTTCGCTAAAGGGTTTTCAAGGTGCTGTGCACCTCCTGACCACGCTGCGGATGCATTTCCAGCTGAGCTACAGCACTCTGGTACTTCACTGACCCACACTCCGTGAAGTATGAGACCAAGCGTTTGATTTATGCAGCAGCATCATTTTGTACAAATCCCTGCACACTCCTCCCAGAGCGGCCCGTATCCCTCTCCTGATGCCCTGCACAACCCCTGCAAGGAGCACGAAACCCAGTTCGGCAGAAACTGCCAGGGCATTGCTGAAGCTGTGCAGAGCTCCCTATGCCATACACTCACCAGTTCAAAGGCAAGACAAGGGAAAAAGTATTGGGCATACCCCACCTCTCAGGGGTTATCTCACCCTACTTCCATTCACAGTGACATTCATGTGTTGCTCTGCTGCCTCTCTAAATTTGAAGAGCAGCACTTTGCCTTTCATGGGCACCAATTTATGTCTTCCACCCCAAAAATGAACACTAATTGATACTAATAAATCACATTTCAGAGGCACCAGTGTACTTTGCAAAGCCTAGCTCCGTGAGATTAAGCTCCTGTGTCACTTGGCTAGTTTGGAGAACTGCCCTAGGCCAACATCATTTTTACCCTAAATATTAATGATGTTAAATAATTTCTCAGTCCCTCCAGAGGAACAGATTATTCCACAAGCATAGGGAAGAAGGGACTACAGGGCATTTCCTCTTTCATTTTCTGTATCCACGTTGTTTGAGGGTAGGACAAAGCACTAAACTAAATTTAAGCAGCAAAAAAAATAGAAAACAGCTATTGCCCAAAGAGATCTTGGACCTCTGGCCTGGTGCAGAAACATCTGCTGGCTCAAAGCTATCCCCTAACCTTGTCTCTTCAACAAAGTCATGCTGAGAGGTAGCAGCATGATGGTGGAAAGCATCAGCCTGCCTGTCTCCCCGCAAAGGGAGAAAGTTCCCTTCCATGCCACGTACTAAATCCTTCTGCATTAACGAGCCTCCAGATAGCAGTGTTCACCCTTCACATCACAGCACTGAGGATCAGACTTGCCAGGGCCCCAGCACCGATGTTCTAAGCAAAAAGCATTGCATGCTCAGCATGGAACAGGCACCAGAGGACAGAGCAACCACAACAACGTCCACGAAGACACCACCACACCAGTGTTACTGCCCACAGGCTCTGGGGTAACGTGTCTGCCTGCAGACCGTACCTGCCCGTTTATCCCTACATGTGCTCTTTCAGGCAGGGGTGTCTCTGTCATCTGCAGCACTGACCTCCTGCTGAGTTAAGGCCATCCAGAGCTCGGTGCGCCTGTGCCCGGCTGGCTCCCTGCCACGTGCACAGTGCTCCCTCTCCCCTAGGCTCACAGCTGGATTGTAGGCAGGCGAGTGTCCTCAGGGATGGCACAGCTGCAAGGCTTGAAAACAGAGGGTATGAAAAAGCATCATCTTCACTCCGGTCCAGGGTGAGGCAGGGAAGCGGCCGCCAGATGGGAAAGAAGAGTGCTCTCTGGATCTATTTGTTCCTCTAGTATTTTCCATAATAATTAAACCCCTACTATTGAGAGACGGCTAAACAGCTTAACAGCCCTCCCTGCCATTTTCTGACTGTTCCACATGCACCTTCCCTCCTGAAAGCTCGAGAAAGCACAGTCAGTCCCTGCTGCAGCAGCAAACAGCGCCACGCGATGCCAAGAGGGGACTAGCTACAAACTACCTGACCATAGCCTGGAGCAGAGCTCCCAGCAGCATGGGGGCTATAACCAGTGTGCAAAAAAAAAGCAACAACTGTAGAGATAACGTCCCGCTGTCTCACTACTGCCTACAACATGATATACATCAAGGCGACTCCAGTTTTCAAAGGTGGTGGTCCTCACTCTGATCAGCCTCACTTTGGGTCCTCCAAATAACAGGTCACTTTTAAACAGACTTTTGTATTTATAATTAGTGGGGCAAACCCATAATTATGCAGCAAGGGCCAGATAATAGAAACCAACACCTTGAGAGGCCGCCCCACTACAGACTCACTCTCACCCCTGAAGCCAACAGACATCACATTAAACGTTCCAGCACTGAAGGATAAAAAGTCTGAAACATGTAAGCGCCTTCAGCCTAA